ATGAGGAGAAAAAAATATATATAAAATTATTCAATTAAGTATGTTAATGCGTCATCACTTTTATAACGTGCTCACTATATTTATTTTTCTCAGTCATAAAAAGAAATTAATCAAAGACCCATTGTAGGCAATATGTGTGATTCTAACACAGTCTAGCTCAAGGCCAGTCCTTATCTTATTGATGACACTTCTCACCATCCATGGCCGGAGAATATAACTTCCTGGCTGTTCTGTATCTTTTTGATGGTATTTCTCACGATTTAAAAGCTGAGAAATGTGTGGGATAAGGTTCCACGAATTTCTGAAAAATCTTTTGTTGTAGACCGTACAAAATGGGTGTCAGGATGCCATCTTATAATGTGTAGAAGAACATGTATAGGCCTTATTGTCCAATTCTTTTAGCCTCAATAGTTCTGAACTTCTGACATATAATAAGGTGACAACTCTTCATACACCAGTTAAATAATTTGCAGCATTGTCACCCCATAGACAGGGTAGATGGATATGTAGTCTTAGATGGACTACTAACAGATACATTAAAGTGGTATTAAACTCACCCCCCACCCCCCCCACCGCCCCCCGCAACCCCGCCATCTTGAATGGCCAACCCTCCTCCAGCCCAACTACTGATACTTTTTTCCTTGGACATTTCCTCCCCTCTATTTGTCTATGGGAGCACTGAGAACTACCCAGTGTTTCTGGGTATGGGGAACATAACACCTCCCCTACCTTCCAAGATGCAGTGCTCAGGCCTGAGTGTCCAATTGCCAGGGATGAACACTGCCATATGAGGGAAGTCATTAATTCTGTGTAAGTAAGAACAAGGATTAGACTCACCACGAATAGAGTGGGGGGCACGCGTAGGCAAGTTAAAATGACATTAAGGTGGAATCCCCACCCCCATGCTGCTGTAAGTACTTACCTTTTGTGATGCCTCTTGATCCGTACATCTTCCTTTAAGTCATTTTCAACAGTCCACTCAGCGCTGGTGCCGCTCTCTGATCCAGCGCCGACTCCTATTTCTTTCAGTGTTGCACAGAGTTTGTCCTGCATCCACACCTCTGCGTGCACGCTCCCACGTGCGTACATTCACTGACACTGTGTCACTCCTCTCCCCTGCGGTAATATCAAATGCGCATGCACCCACGCACTCCTACACGGTCGTGGGAAGCTGTGTTCTGCAGCCAGGAGCAAGTGGCATAGACAGAGGTACATTTTTCATTGTTTCGGCACTTTTAACATTTTTTAAATGTTGGGGCATGCTCTACTGCTTGCTAACAGTAGATATTTAAAAAAAAACAGGAGCCTTTAATACCACTTTAAAACCAAAATCGGCTAATACTTTTTTAACAGTTAACAGTATTGTTGACTATTTTTAGCATCCCTGTCAGTGTAATAGTTTGTTCCCACCTTGCAACTGTCACATTTGTTGAGCAGCTTGGTCTGAATGTAATTGTGAATAAAAACATGAATAAAGTCATGTGGAATAAAAAAAAAAGTATTCATAAATAAATATCATTACTACAGATATGGATGCACCCAGGGGCTTATCTGCCGCGAGGCAAACAAGGCGTTTGCCTTGTGCGGCAGTTTTCAGGGGGCGGCAAAAATGCTGCCCCAAAAATAGTTAGTTACTACCCAATACCAATTACTGATACCTTTTTTTTGTGTGTCATTTGACAGTTTTTTTTAAACAATACAGACTAATGATTTTAGGACAGTGGTGGAGCGCCAGGGCCCGGCTGCAGCTGCAATCCTGGTAGTTATGCCACTGACTCCAAGCTGCAGAGGGACAAAAAATCTCAGCAATACATTATACAGCAATGCAGAATACCACCAGTTATAGAGGACTACAAATCCCAGCAATACATTATACAGTAATGCAAAATACTATCAGCTATAGAGGACTACAAATCCCAGCAATACATTATACAGCAATGCAGAATAAATTTAAGCTACATACTCTGTGCAGCTTCTTAGGAGGCTGTGTGGGGTCTGACCATGGATGTGCGGAGTCTCAGGAGGTTGTGCAGGGTCTCACCAGGGCTGTGTGGGATCTAAACAGGGCGGTGCAGGATCTTAGGAGGATGTGGTCTCACCAGAGCTGTTCAAGGTTTCACCAGGGCTGTGTGCGGTCTCACCAGGGCTGTGCGGGTCTCACCATGGCTGTGTGGGCCGGTACGGGCGGCAGGAAGGAGAAGATGTGCAGCCGGACCAGCACTGTAAACAGCCACTGCGAGGTCCCCACAAGGCTGCCACAAGGTTCCCAGCAAGCGCAGGACCTTACTGCAGCCAAATATACTGGAAAATTAAAAGTGCCGGCATCAGCACCTAGTATCGGGGAATTTTCACGAGTACGAATGAAAATCCCCAGTATTGGCATCGGTGCATCCCTAATTACAGGTACTAACCACACACAGATACCAGAGTACAATATTTTTTTTACAATAGTGGTCCTTTATTGTTTGCCCAATAGACAGTTGTACTTTTACACTAAAGGGGTCTATGTATAAAAAAGTTTGCATAGCTGTGTGAATTACCCAGCTGTTGTTACAATGGGGCAAAATCGAATGTTGTTATCTTAATTTCTCTTCTGGTCCCATGTTCTTCTTATATCATGAGCAGTAGTTAATCAGGAAAATACCTCATTATGGCCACTAGATGGAGCTGAGGATCATAGGTAATAAATATAATCAGCAACAAGAGATGCAATGTAACAATTTTAAAGAACTCTGGAGAGAACTAGCATGTAGGTGTTACAACTGCACTAAGGGAATACCCAAAGCAGCAATGGTTACATGCAATAATTTCCTATATGTTAGGAATGCCTCTATGGAAAAGAAAACATTCACTGTCATGAATTTAGAAATTAGTTTTGATGTACAGGTATATAGATGTCTGGATTTAAATAATAATCTGCTCCAGGTATCAAATATGTTACTTACACCACTGGCCCTGTTGATCATTTAAAACTAAAGAAAAGCTTACCAGAAGCAATTGCTGACTTTCCCTTATGGAATTATTGGACAGGAAACAAGCCGTGTACTGGAAGATGCCCCCACAGAAGATAATCTTTACACTAACCTTTGTAATACATCATACAGCATCTCGTTATCATAAGAACCAATCAGCATTGTCTGATACATTTATAGTATAGGTTAGAAAGTGAATACAAATAAATGTGATTGGTTGATAGAAGCAATGCTGATTGTTATTACATCACATGCTCTTATACACAAAACCTCATCTTCTTTCATTTACAGGCAGCGCTCTGCAGTGCTATGAATGTGTTGGCACATGCAAAAATATGAACAAGACAACGTGTCCAGAGGGAACAAAACGATGTTATTCAGTCTATATTAACCAAGGTGAGTTTTCTGACAAAATCTACTCCCACCAATAATAAAATACTTAAAGGAGGACTCCAGACTAGGGTACCAAAGTTATAGTTTGAGTCTAGCCAGACATTGTTTTTTTAGTTTTGGATAGAGTTGGGAAGGATTAGAACCAATGTTGGGTTTCACGGCTATTCAGGTCTCCATTGGAGAGAATTCCTCTTTGTTATGATTATAAGAGTTTCATCAGACAGGAAGTGAGGGAAAATCTGCAACAGGAAAGCAAACACCAATAAAAATCTGATTTGGGGTTCCAACCTCTACTAGAGACTTAAAAAACATTTTTTCTTGTCTTTGAAGAGTTTCCTTTACTGGAAACTCTGGTGAAAATATTGACGGTTAGTAAGGAGAAATTGCTGTAATAGATTTCTGGATAGAAGCACTGGCGCAACTACCAGGGTCGCAGCGGTCGCAATTGCGACCGGGCCCTGGTAGTTCCGCCACTTGGGGGGGCCCAGCGAAGAAGTGCACTGCCCGAGGGCCGCGGCCAGGGGGGGCCCGTCACCTGGTGGCGTAGCATTTAATCATTAATTAGATTTAATCTCTGTGCCTGTATGTTCTGTGAGTTTGTAGTCCTGTATAGCTGATGGAACTAATCTGCATTTCTGTATAAATTATTACTGGGAGTTGTAGTCCTCTATAGCTGGTGCCATTCTGCATTGCAGCAGTGCAGAATGGCATCAGCTATAGAGGACTACAAGTCCCAGCAATGCATTATAGTGGGGGGGGGGGGGTGTTGGGGGTATTCTGCATAGCTGATTTTTATTATAATGTATTGCTGGGGCTTGTAGTCCTGCATAGCTGGTGATATTCTGCATTGCTGTATGATGATTATACATCAATGCAGAATAGCTCCAACTATGTAGGACTACAAGTCCCAGCAATGCATTATATTTTTAAGTAGGGATACACCACTGCCAATACTGGGCATTTTCACGAGTACTCATACTTGTGAAAATGCCCCGATACTAAACGCAGATACCGGTGTTCTGGCGTCGAGAACCCCGACGTAGTCTAATTTGCCGACCTCAGCATCTGCGCTTGCGCACAGACCGCTATTATCGAGGAAACCGGGATTTATTCACAAAGTATTTCATTAAAATCGTTAATTGTGACCGTTAATAATATTCCATCCTTCATTTACTGCCATGGACGGTATATTATTAATGGTCACAAACGAATACTTTGTAAATAAATGCAGGTTTCCTCGTTAATCCCGTTTGTGTGGTAAGCGCAGATACTGGGTCCGCGTTCTCGTCAGAACACCGGCACTAACATTTTAAACAAGCGGCTGCCTGAGGTCCCGCGCTTGCTGGGGACCTCGGCAGCCTTCCTGTTAACCATGTGGTGCCATTGCGGTTGGGGGTCCCTTCATGGTTTCTTGCACTGGGGCCCTGAAGGTTCTAGTTACGCCACTGGATAGAAGTAAAATCTGACCGGGATTCTAACTAAGGATGCACCGATATATCGACCGCCGAAACATATCGGCCGAAAATGGCACTTGTGGCTCAATGCCGAAAGTGCAATTTTTCTGCCGATACATCGGCGCATCCCTGCTTTCTTTCCTCCCTGCTGGGCGCTGCTCTTTGTCCCAGCGCATAGGAGAGAAAGTGTGACAGCTGAGCGCTGCAGGAAGAGAGTGCTGTGAGCGGCCAGCGCCTCTCCTCCCACACCATTCAGCCTCCTATCACAGTCCGGCAGAGCGGTGTGGGGGCGTAGACAGCCAGCGATGTCACAGGAGGCTGAGCTCTCCTCCCCGCATCGCTCGCTCAGCCTCCTGTGACGGCTGTCAGGATGGAGAGCGGGTACAAGCAGTCAGTGATCGCTGAGTGTTTGTAGATAATTGAGGACATGGTATGTGTACTATATCCTCAATTATGAATGAATGGGAGTGATCTACATACCCTCCTGTCCATTCATAGTTGTGGATATAGTAAACACACTCTGTCCTAGACATGTGCACTGGCAAAACATTTGTTTAGTCTTGTTTTGATTTGGATTTCGCGTTATTTTGTTTTTCGTGATTCGGGTCTGAAAGTCAATTTGGTTTTGGAATTCGGATTCGGACGAAATCTGTTAGCGGTAGTTCGTTCGAACGTTCGTTTCGTTTCTATTTCGTTTTGTTCGTTGCAGCAAAGTGGCATTTGAGGATAAAAAAATGTTTTTCCCCTTCTCAAATGTCACTTTGCTGCAACAAATTTTCATCCAACAAACGAAATTTCTTACAGACTACGGCTAACGAATTTCGTAATCGGAAATTCGGATTCGTTTGCATTCGTTATATCTGTATTTCAGAATTCGGATACATCTGAATCTCTGAATTTCCGAAATTTCTCTTTTCATCAAATTTCTCTTTTCATCAAATTTCTCTTTTGATGACACTTTGTGTCATCAATCTCTTTTTCTATTTTAAAAGGGAAATATCAGGGGTTTGTTTAGACCCCCAATATTTCCCCAAAGCCCTAAAAGTAAAATAAACAATAAAAATATTTAATAAAAAATGAATAAATAAATAAAAATAAATATTAAAAAATGTAAACGTTTATAAAAATTTAATAAAATATTGAAAACATTTGAAAAAATTAAAATAAAAAATGTTTTCGGTTTCGACCTGACATTTTTTTGTTGTTTCGGCTTTAAAATTTCCATTTCGCTGCACCTCTAGTTCTAACCCTTCCCCACTCTGTCCAATACTGAAAATAGTCTTTTTGCTATAAATGCACTTTGTATATAATGTTTGCTATGTTTCCTATAACATGTTTTTTGCATTCACTTATCGTGTTGAATATTACCTTTCAGAGTATTTTATTAATTTTCCAAATTACAATAAGACAATAAAATAGCACATATCGTGTTGAATATTAAGTAAAGAAGGAAGTGTGGGTTTTCTAGCACATGCCAGTCGTGTGTGACAAAAAACACCCCTTCATTCCAGGAACTTTGACATCAAGCTCCTGCTGAGATTGTAATCCTTCTGATCACTAACTGGTTTATTGAATAAGGCATTGAAAGCTGAAGAGAGAATGTAAGAGGCTTAATTGCACATATCAGTCATTCTGTGCCTGATTGGTGTTGAAAGGAATCTGCATCTAAGGTGTCCTGGCTAGATATGTGCCATTCATTGCTTTCCAAATTGAATTTTTTTTTTAATTTTCAGAAATTCAAATGGATCCGAATTTCCAAACGAAATTATAACGAATCCGAACCTATCCGAATTTAGGATATTGAAAATTTTAGAGGCATCCAAATTTATTTCCGAATTGCATTTGGAATGAACTTTTGTTGTTAAACGTCAACCGAAATAAAAGAAAGCATGGAGTTCCCCTCAAAAGTCATACCAGACCCTTTAGGTCTGGTAGGAATGGTGTGGGGGACGCCAATGTCATAAAACAAGAAAAAGTGGGGTCCCTTCTAAAATTCCTACCAGACCCTTAATCTGAGCAGTGGTCTGGCAGGGCAGGAAATTTTATTAAAAACACAAACACAGTTTTTGACAATTCCTTTAATGTAAAGAAAAAAATTGTCCAACGATGTAATCCAGCGTCAATCACAAAGAACGACGCCCACCCATTTGCCAAACTAAATCAAGTCCCGACACCCGTCTGATCCCAACGAACACTCGCTGCAAAATGACAGGTCCAGGCTGAATGTAAAGAAATGGGCACAGAGAGTTGTGACATCACGGGACTTGCTCTGCCCATTTGTTGACATTCAGAAGCCCCAAATGCCATTCAGGTGTGGTAGCCGGGGTGTTGTGTCACCTGTCATTTTGTGGCGTGTGATCGTCGGGTACGTTTAGACTTTTTTTTATTTCGGCAAGTCGGCCGGTATCATTCATTGTGATTGACGCGGATCCACATCGCTGGACGACGTGATTGATGATGAATCTACATCACTGGACACCTTTTGTTTATATATATATATACATATATATATATAT